AATTACAGAAAACAAGACAGAAAATGAGAGAGAGAGAGAGAGTGAGAGAGAAAAAAACTATTATTATCAAAGGTGTATCACATTTTGTTGTTCGTTGTTGCTGTTGTTGTACCTTTGCAATTGACATGAAAGAGAGACTGACCAGTTCGATAATAGAATTAGAACTTTTTTTTTCTTCTTTTTTCTCTTTATATTCCTTTTTTATTCTCAATTCTTTTGATACCGTTTTTACAGTTCTATGTTAATAGATTACGTTATCAGCTGTGTTTACAAGTTGAAAGCTACTGAAAGCGTTTATAACACACAAATGTGTCGATTTTTACTATATACGTACGTGAATAAATGTCGATTGTGGGTCTAGATTTTCAAAAGTGTGGACAAACTGATGTCTGTTGTCTGAGAAAAAAGAAAGAGTTTAGAAAAATGAAAAGAGTGGGGTAATGGGGAGGTGGAGAGAGAGAGAGAGAGAGAGAGAGACCCACTGGTGGGCCAGCCGTGTGCCCATTGGCCTTGTGTCTGCGTTTATCATCATCATCGTTTATGAGCCTTTACTATTGATAATTTTACTGCTGTTGCTTTTTACTTTACTTGTTGTTCTTGTTGTTGATATGTTTCATGGCTTCTGTTGTTGTTGTTGTTGTTGTTGTTGAGCCTGGTTAAGAAAATTGTAAAGAGACTGATGGTCAGTGATGGTCAACGATGGTAAAGTACTTGTAAATCTTATATCTAAATAGATGAAAATAAAAAAATGCAAATGTTAAAAGTGTCCAAAGGGATAAAAAGATAAGTGAGAGAAAAAAATCTCTCTCTCTCTCTTTCCATTTCTTAATCTTTCTTTTCTTATATATTCTCTTTTTTTAAGACTCCCTCCCTCATCCTCCTCCTTCTCATCATCACAATCACCATAATCATAATCATCATCATCATCATCATCATCTATTTTTTGGCTTATACTGTGTCCATTTACAGACACTGGACACAAAAGGTTAGCTCTTTTAGCTGGACAAACCTGAACAGGTAAACAAAAAGCAAGCCCATCATCCTAATCGGACACGGAGCCATCATTATGAGGTCACCAATCGGTAACTAAAAACAGATAACAAATGATAATCCGATGAGGAGGAAAATAATAATAATAATAATGCTCTTAATCAACTTGGGATTAAGGAAAACAATTAACCAACAAAAGCAAGAAAAAAAAATACTATGTATTTATATTATCATAATAATAATCAAGTTTGTTGATGATTGATGATTTATCTGGTATAAGGTGTCAGTTGAAAAATCAACCCTTTATTATTAATTGTTAACGATTGTTACGTTGAACATATTTGATTGTTACAGTTAATAACATTATTAAAAGGGTTGATTGTGATATTCAAGTGTATTGTTTACCCGGAATATGTAAAAAAAAGGAGTAAAAATGAATCCATCAAACTGGACAATACCCTTAATGGTCAAAAGGTCGAGGTGTAATAATATATAAGTGCTAATGTAATGGTATCAATATCAATGGTTAACAGTTTGATAAATGATTGATCAACTTTTCTTAGCATTTTTTTATCATCATTATCATCATCATCCCACCTCCAACCTCCGCCTTTCCTTTTTTTTACCCATCAAGTTACATTTGTATACATAATCATCATCATAATCATCATCATTATCATCATCAATTCAATCAAAATCTCCCCTTCGATATCATTAATATGGTAACTGTATCAATAGGAAGTGTAACTGTTGATTACTTTTTTATATGTTGATTACAATTTAGATTTTGACTCTCAAGTGATTAACAATCTTGTTATTATTGTAAATATCACAACACTTCATTGATGATGAAAATTGATGATGATGATGATGATAAAAAAAGGGTTTCTCTTTACAAAATGATCCAAACAAAATCGATAACAGAAAGAAGGGGAAAAAAGTTCTAATCGAAAGATCGAAAAACTTTTTTTTCCCAATTACAACTTTTTTGTTCCACGACAAAGTTTTATTTTCCTTATTTTCTAATTATCTTGACAATTACAATTGTAATAAACTAATTGTTGATCAATTATTGAGTCAATTCATTTGATGATTTTTCGTTTCTTTTCCTGATTGATTGGGATAATTTTTTTCCTCTCCTTCATTTTTATATTAATATCATTCTGATAAAAGTTAAACATTGATTAGTTGATAATGATAATTATCCGATGATATATAAATTATATTAATGTTTAGTTACTGATAATGATAAAAATGTAACTGACCACTGGACAATCAATGTAATACATTGATTTATGGTGAGAAAACACTGATAATGATTTAAATGGTAACTGTTCAAATGTAAACATTGATTTTTTCATTCATTTCATTTGATTAAATTTACTTTGAGCAAATGTACAATTGTAATAATCAATTTGTTGTTTTCAATGAGATTCACAAGTAAAAATTTTCACACTTCCTGAAACCATTAGTGAGTCTCCACCCTGAGTACTATCACTCCCACCCTAAGTGTACCGTCCAGTCTGATGGTCAATGTATGTATATGTTTAAAAATACAGTAAATGTTTGTATTTGTTTGACTGACCGTTCATTAGAAAGTGCTATTATTGCTTAACTGACCAAGGACAAGGTCAAGTTAATAGGAAATTTATGCAAAAGATTAAAAATAATGAGAGAGAACAATTTTTTTGCTCTTCTTTAGATGGACATCGAGGTGTGGGAGGAGAGAGAGAGAGAGAGAGAGAGAGAGAGAGAGTGGTCAACAATTGGACAGATTTTTTTCTTATAATGGTGATGATTATGACAACACAACAACTGAATTAAATAAACACACAGAAAGTGTGAATTTGTAGTTGTGGGTGCGAGTGAGTGTGGGGTGGGGTTGATACTTTCTCCCTCTCTTGTCAATAAATAAATCATTGGTCAGTAATAATTGTTAATAACAATAAATAAATCTAATGAATAAGGAACAAAAAATAATAATAATAATCATAATAATCATTTGAATGGTCAAGGCAAAAAAAAATAGGAAAAAAGGAAACAAAATTTATCTTCAAATGGCTAATTTAAAAAGTTTCAGCGAGAGGACAGTTGTCCAGTACTGATACTGACCATTAGATTAAGATCATGAAACAAACGGTACTTTTCAATTATGACAAAATTTACCTCCTCCCACATATTACCTACAATCATTTTCACCTCTCATTGACAATTTACTTCATCATAATATATTATTATGCATCTTTGTTAATAATTTATCATCATTTCAATGGTCAGTATTTTCTGTGCTTTCATTGACCATCACTCCCGATATTTAATAACAATGATAATCTTTGCCTCCCACACTTTTCATTGTCATCAATTGTCCTCATCATCTTTCGTCCTAACGTTATGTAATCGGAGGTAATAGTTGAACGTTTGAGAGGACGGAGGAAGAGGAAGTGACCACATGAGAAAGAGAGAGAGAGAGAGAGAGAGAAACAAAATCGAATTTGTTTTTTTCTTTTTTACAGTTATCCCAATTTTCCACTCCCAATGTCACCTTTATCTCACACCTTTCTTTTTTTCTATTCTCTTCTTCTTATTTCCCTTTCATCTTCATCAAGATCATCTTCCTTGTTTCCCTTTTTTTACTTCCCTTGTATTGGTCATCCTCATCTTTGTTGATGTCCTGTTGTGATTGACGCGTGGATATAAAGTTAACTTGGACTTTGAATATAAATGACAATAAACTATAATAATAATGATTAAGGATAAAAAAAAGTGAGACCATGAAAAGAGAGAGAGAAAGAAAGAAAGATAAAGTCCGGTAAAGGTCATCGTGAGATTAAGTGACCACTAATTATGTCCATTGACCATTTTACGTCCACTGGACATTATTATGTCTTCATCAACTAATGTTGTTGTTGTTGTTGATCAATTGAAATGAAAAAAAGTAAAATTTAATCATCACCTCCCTCACTCCTCCTACAATTTAATACTTGATGATACAGTTAAGTTGACCAGTGATTATGATTAATAACAATGTTGTAATCTCATGTATTTGATACACAATTAACACACCTCGACATTTTTACATGAAATCAAGACGGAAGAGGGAGGAGAGAGAGAGAGAGAGATGAAGATGAAGATGAAGATAAAGATACAAAAAAAATAGGAGGAGTTGATAATGTAAATAAGCACAAGAAAACAACAATGGAAACATTTTTTACAGTTACTTTTACGCATCATCATGTTATCAATTTTAATTGGTAACAATTAACTGTATCGTTAATATGATAACTACTGTCACCTCCTCAATCTTGCCAAGGGTTATCCCCATCAGCCTCTCCTCTTTGTTTCACTCACCCCACCAGAAACAAATTAATCTTAATCCAACAACAATTTGTGAGTTAAATTATTTAACCCTCATCAACAACATGGAAATAGTTAATTACAATTAATCAAGTAACCAAGAATGTGCAAATCATTTAATTCTGATTGCAGGCACAAAAATGAATTGAATGTTATTCAACAACAACAACAAAAAATGGCTCAAAAAATTAACTTCAAGTTACAACAAAAAAAAAGCTTAGCTGGTTAGTTTTGATTAGTTAAAATTAGATTGTTAGTTGTTGAGTGTTGGAAAGTTAATTTAGTTACAATGGTTTTAAATTAAAAATATTTTTCTCCTCGTTTTCATGTTGATTCAAATGTAAGGATTAAATTACAATTAAGTTTCCTCTCACGATTAACAGAGGTGGTAGATGATCAAATTGGAGAAATCTAATTGTCATCTAATTGTTGAATATCTACTTGGATTACGCCTCACAATTGTGAGAGTTAATTGACTTGGAAGAGAGAGAAAAATTAATCACAATTACAGTTGTAATTAGTGATTTTTACTTTCAATTTCTCATCTTTATAAGTTGATAAAGTTAATTGTGAAAAGAAAAAGTTAATCTTATTACAATTAAAGATGATTATTTGACAATTGATTCAACATGATTCAGGATGTTCAAGTTTCATCATTAGCTGTATATATGTTATTTTATTATAATAATTCATTCAAGTGACAATTCAATGATATAGTAATTCATCCTTATCTTCATCATTATCTTCATTATCTTCATCAGTATCAATATCAGCGATAATCAACAGCGATTGAATTGGAACATGAATCGAGGATGGAAAAAGAGCAGAAACCGGATCTTCTCTGTGGATTTGATTATTATTATTATTATCATTATCAATATGATGAACCAATCATATATTTTATGGTGAATAAACAGGAAAATTGAAAGAGAAAAGCAAATAGGAAGATGGATTGAGAGAGGAAGAGAGAGAAAAAAAAGAGAGAAGTTCTCAGATGAAGAGGGCACAAAATATTTGATGAAAGATTGTAAATGAATTTTTGATGATTTAAATTTGTGGTTGGTTCGTCTTCCTATCAGTCGTCATCAGGAGCATCGAGATCTCTATAATTTCTTGTCTTTATTCTGAAACATTAACATCGTCAATAAAATGTCAATATTAATGTATTGTTGTTAAATTTTGTGTTAATCAAAATCGATACAAGACAACAATCATTTCTTTTTTCGAAAGTCATTAACTGGTAATATTAATACTAAATAGTGAACGAGATCTCAATCGAATCTGAAAACAACTGATAGCTCCGGTTTTCAATGTCAAAATACAAGTTGATTTCCTTTTTGTAATAATAATCTTTTCTTTGTGTGGGACCAAGGGAGAGAGAATGAGAGATATTATGGTTACTCAGGTTTAGATTTAAATTTACGATCCTTTTCTTGTGATCTGGAAAGGCCTTTAAAGTATCTTGTTGCCTTGTCAATTCTCATGGATGGAAGGGAATTTATCTTGATGTCTCTTTAATTAAATCATTTCCAGGTTATCATCCAAATCTGCGTATCCAACAACAGCACGAGGATCATGTCTAAAAGTTGTTTTCAGATTAATTTAAGATCATCAATAAGCTAACCGATCATTTTAACAATAATAATAGTAAACGATTGTTTCTGTCGAATTGAAGTTAAAACTTTTTCTTTATAAAATAAAATCAACTCACCTAGCACCGTAACGATTACGGGATAATGTTGCAGCAGCGGCTGCGGCTGCTGCTGCCGCCGCGTGAGCTGCTGCTGCCTGGTGACCACCTCGAGAATAGTCCAAATTAGGAGCCATAGGCTGATAGTTTCGACTCAATGCTGTCCATGCCGCCATTGGATTGGCAAAGGGTAATGGCGATCGCAAGGGAAATCCAGGAAAACCAGGAGCTGTAGGGAAACCAGCGGGGTGAGCCCATGCATTGGCTGAAGTTGTTGGTCCATTGTGACCAATTGTCGGTGGATTATTTTTATCAGTGCCAGTCTGTGCATTCGCGGGTCTATTAGATGGATGTTCAGGTAATGCAGGTCGCTTTGGATCACTTAGATAATTGTTAAAATATTCAACTTCTTTTCTAACTTGATGAAGTCTATCTTCATGCTTGTTTAAAATGTGTTTCCGCACAAAATCAGGTCCTTTGAACTTTTTACCCGATAATGGACAAAGCCATTTATCTTTACCAATTTCTTGGGTATTATGTTGAATAAAATCTTCAACTTCTTTTTCTTCATCTTTTTTACCCAATTTAAGAGCTTCTTCTTCGGTGATAATTACTAATGGTTGAAGATAAGGTTTGATTTTTTGCTCGAATGCTTTGATGTATTCATTTATCTCTTGTGAAGTTACTTTACAAGATGGTGGTGCACCTCGAGCATGCATGATACCAATACGATTGGGCATTTCATCTTCATTTGGATAATCACTGTGATTATAATAATCAACAGAATGAACTATCCTAAGGTATAAGAGTAGACGATCTAAAACTTTAATAAGATTCTCATCTCTTTCTAATGATTGACCAGGACTTTCTTCGCCTTCCTCTTCACCCGCTTGGTCTCCTAAAAGCTCTTCCTCTTCAGCACTTGCTTCTTCAATCATGTAATCGGCAATATTTTTAAGAAGAGGATTACAGGATTGGAATCCAAATGCAACTTCTTCTTTGGTCTTTGGTTCATTTGCATCTCTCTTTTCCTGTTCATGGTCGTCCCAGACGCGTCTTTGGTGATCAAGATTAAAAACTATTTTCGCTGCGTTCCTGATGTCGGCCCGAACAACATTCTTGTGAGAAGCTATTCCATTAACAGAGCGGATTCGTCTGGTTAAATCTCGATTAACTATAGCTCCTAATTCACATTCTTTAATCTGAGGGAAAGAAAAAAGCCAATCATTAGAATTGAGAACAATTTCAACAATAAAGCAACTAAAGAATCAACTTACTTTAATACTAAGCATTTCTAAACAAATTTCTCTGATGTTACCAAGTTTCTCAAAAGTGACCCATCCTCGTCTATAAAATTTACGATCTGGTGCTGGATCAGCTATGTGGACTCGGAGAAAACCAGGATGCTTCTTACAGATCTAATAATAAAATATGAGAAAAGGAAGATTGAATGAAAAATGAGTCTAATGATAAATTTGAGAGTTAATATGAGATTTACCTCTTCAATTTCCGCCTTGGTTATGTTTGGGGCAATGTTACGTAAGAAAATTGAATCTTTAAGATGAAGAGGTCGAGGTTTAGGCTCATCGTCGTTTGGTTCATTAGCTGAGTCTTTTTTGGGCTCATCACTTTCATCCATCTTCTCTTCAGTCTCTAGGCCTGAGCCTTTAGTTTCAGGTTTCTCATCTTGTTCATTTACACTATCTTCTTCTTCGCCTTCTTCTTTTATTTGATCTTTTTCCTCAGCTAGTTCTTTACTCATAGATGCTTCACCGTCTTCACCATCTTCCATATCTTCAGATGGTTCGACTTTAATGTTTACTTTACTATCTTTAAAGTCTTCACATTCTCCAGTATTTTCATCCATATTCTTAACAGATTCGGCACTTTCAACAGGCTCTTCTTTAACTGGGACATTTTGCGAATCTTCATCTTTGATTTCCTCTTTGATTTTCGACTTCATGTCTGAATCTTCATCTTCTTTTTTGTCAATTTCTTCACCATCCTCGCCTTCTTCTCCTTCTTCACCTTCTTCGCCTTCTTCGCCTTCTTCTGGTTTTTCCTTTTTTTCTTTCTTGGGAGGAGGTTTTTCAACGTCAACTTGGAATACTTCAAGATCAGATGCCTTTGGTTTGTCATCTGAGGCATCTAACTTGGTATCCAATGCTTTAAGATCAAAATCAGTTCCGCCTTCTAACTTGATAACTGCAGCATCTAATAGACGGATAATCGAGTCAGATTTTTCGACATCAATGCTCACAGAGTCAACCAATCCCTTGTCATAAAGTTCCATGAAAACATTAAGTCTGTTTTTAAGAGCTTGGTGTGATTCTTCTTTACGTTTACCAAATTCGTCAGGATGATACTTGGACTTGAACCTGAAGAAAGCAAGGGTGAAAAATAAGACAGAAAATGAACGTAGAGAGAGAGAAAAACAAAGAAATCATTAGTAAATTGAATAGATAAAACTTGACAGCAAGATAAATACAATGAAATGGAAGCTGTAAATAAAAATGATTCATCAATTAATTGTTAGCAGTGTATTGATTTAACGCGCTAAGGCCAAAAGCTCACCTTAATTGAGTGTGTTCACACCATTTAAACGCGATGTTAATCACAAATACAAAAATAAACATTTTTTTTCCTTATTTTTCAACAATATTAAATTTTTTTTTTCATGATAGAAATATGAAAGTTTTTGGTAAATATTTGTGTTTAGATTGAGTAAAGATAAAAAATAACATCAACAGCTAATAAAATGATCAGATTTTTGTAGAGTTTAGGTGAGTTGCAAAAAATAGAATAAGTTGTTGTTGATAGATTGGGTTATTTAACATCTCAATATATTCACAATAACATAAAATATTCATTTAGATATAAAAATAAAAATAAAAATAAAAAATGACTTAGATTTGATGTTTGTTTTTGTGAATGAAGTTTGACGAGGTAGATTTTTTTTTCGGTGTGAACATAATTATAATAATTATATATAAAAAAAAGTGACGAAGATTTACCCGAAAGGCATGTAAAAGATGCCTAACTTTTTCATCTTTAGTTTCATGTATAAATTAGTAGTAGAAAATATTTGGGGAATTAAGCTCACTGGTTGAGAACATGAAGAAGGAAAAAGGGTTAAGGGAATTGGTTTTAAAACGAGGACGCGGGTAAGGAAATATAAGTAGAAAGTGAGCATTGATCATGAGACTTTCACGATTGACTTTAGTGTGGGTACATTTTGTTATAAGTACTGATGAGATTAAAAAACTTATTTGAATGGAACCAATTGAATAAAAACTCTGACAAATGGGCAAAAACACACACAACAAAAAAGTGAAAACAATTTATAAAATCACTGAGATAATTGAAAGAAAAAACTTGTCCTGGAGAGTTAATTTGACCGTTAATTAAACCGCTGTTGGTAGGAAAAGTTGTGTAAAATTAGTTCTAATGTATGTGTAATGTGCGCGTGAGATTTTTTTTTTCATCTTGTATAAATAGAGAGAGAGAGAGAAAAAGAGTAGGAGGATGAAATCAAAGAAAGGAAAGAAAGGAAAATAGCTCTTGGTGAAAAGTGAAGGATAGTACAAACTACTAGGATGTCAAATAAAAAAGAATTGACAAAAAGTAAAAAAGGAAAGAGTTGATTGATATTTTAGACGAGATATCAAACAAAATTCATCGATCAAAAAATTCTAATTCATAGGAAACAATAGAGTAAAAGGTGAGAAGACTTTTAGGTGATACTCTTGATGTAATTTAGAAATTGGGATGGATCTTGATTCTTACCATTCTTCTTCTTTGTGTGCGGTAAAAAAGGAAGCGATCTGTTGTTTCTTGAAATCTGTCTTGTAATCGTTATATTTTTTAACGGCATCCATATCATCAACGCTATCATCCTGGGTAGCAAGAAATTGTTTAAATGTCATCATAGGAGGTTGTGTAGGGCCAACGCTGTGTTCATAAGGAGTAGAGGAAGAAATTGTTAGTTGAGAAAAGAAATTTGGAATCATCTGGATCTAATGGGTGATAATTACTATACAAACCTTTGATGAGTATTGGTTGATGTGTTGGAGTTAAAAGTAGCTGCGGCAACAGCTGAATTTAAGGAATGAGGACTTATCCCAGTATCTATAGGATTCCATGTACCTCCTGAATGAGGGTATTCAAAATTATTGGAAGAAGAGTAATTACCTCTTTCATCCCAATCTGGTCGAGTATTACGAACCCTTTTCATAGGAGGACTCATGTCACTTCTATCTCCAGGGCTACCATACCGGTCCCTTCTTTGATTACCATATCTATCATTAGAATATCTACCATCACTACCACGGTTATTCATTCGATCACCAGATCTACCAGATGAATTACGTCCCCAATCACCACTGGATTCACGAGAATCAGGCCAATCTTCCCGTCCACCTCCTCTACTTGAACCAGAATATCTATCCTGATAATCACTACGTTCTCTTTTAAATTTATCTCTTACCCTACGACGATCATATTCATCATCACTGTCACCCATTTTGTGATAGAAAATTCACCTGAGAAAAAAAGAAGATACAAAAAAACCAACAACAGAGATTAACAATTAAACTTAATCCAAATTAAACAATAAAATAAACAGATTCCTTTACATTAACACTCTTTATTTACAACAGATACACAAGGCAATAAGAAAAAAGTAAAGCTATTTAAAGAGATTAGAAAAAGAAAGAGAAAAAGAAAGACCAACAACCACACCGACACAAACACACACACACAAGCAAATCCACAGACTGATAGACAAAATACTCACCTAATTGCGAACCAAAGGTAACAACCAAAGTGAACTTAGAGGTAAATCAATGAGTATTGAGTAGAAAAAATTGAAACAATTTAAGTACAATTAACAAAAAGTCATTAAGGAAAACAGAGAGAAAATGTTTTCTTACTAATCATTAGATTGGAATAGAAAAAAATGGCGGAGAAGGGACCATATTCGCATTACGCTTCTAAAAGAAGGGAAAATCTCCTAATATCTAAAAGAAAAAGAAGAAAAAAAAATTCTATTTATCTAAATGAGAAAAGAAAACAATTAACTATTTATGTTGATTGTTTATACTTTTTATTTTAATTTTTGCTCTAATTTCAATTTTTAACTAATTTTTTTTGGTTCTTTTCTTTTCTTTCAACAATTAGATGATTTATCATTTATTCTGTTCCAGAATCGTAGTCATGCTCAGCTGCTTGGTCATCAAAGTATCGGCTTGACATTAATTTGATTTTTATTCTTGTGACTTTTTTGTTTATTTACCAGGGATTTATAATTTCGAGTTGATTGTTTGTCGATCTATTTGATTGTTGGATTTTTTTCTCTATGATTAAGAGAATTTGCTGATTGAAGGAAATCAATTGTCATCGAGTTTTTCATCATCTTCTTTATCTTCGCATCTCTAGGTTAGCTTTTTTTTCAAATTCTTTTATCTCTTCTTGTCTTTCTCTGTATTTTTATATCTGTGGTTATTTACCAAGAAGAAATTTTTTATTGATCAAATTGTGATTGTTATTGATTATGTGATTTTTTTTTATCAATTTAATTAGGGTTTTGTCATGTCTTCTGGAGGTAATCAGATCTCTTCGGACGATGAAATCGCCATCAACAAGTTAGAATATCTTAAAGAGCTTCGGTAAGTTGTTTTAATTTGTATTCTTTTTTTCCGCTTTGATATTCTGTATTTATCAATTGACATTCGATGAGATTAATTAGTTATCAATATGTTAATGATTTGTTTCTTCTTCTTCTTCTTCTTTGGTTGGTTTATTTATTTATCTTCTTCTATAGAGACTTAACATTGGATTTAAATAACATAAAAACTCGTCTTAAACAAGAATTGGATGCAGTTGAATCGGAGAAAAAATGTCTTGTTGCTTATCGAAAAGAGAAAGAGTTTCTTGAACAAGAAAAATTGGCTCATGTTGAAGAATTACGATTAATTCATTCTGATCTAAATCAAATGGAAACAGTAATAAAGGAAAGTGATGAAGAACATAGTCAACATTTGTCAACAGCAAAAAGTTTACTAATTGAATGTCAACAATTAAAAGATCATGCAAACAAGATGAGATCTGGTTTAGGTTTAGATTTGATTAATGATCTACACGAAGAGGAGGAGAAAATTCGTTCAGAATTATTTAAGAAACATCATCTTTCTGAGCCAACTAATCGTGATTATGAATCAAATGGACGCTCAATGAACAAAACATTGTTAACAATTTCAACAGCAAATTCTCAGCCACCCTCAATGATTCACGGTGTTTTCAAGCCAAATTTACCCTCTTCGGTTCATCAACCTCGATTAGGATTCTCTGGGCAAGGTGGATCTTCAGTCCACCCTGGACCATCTTCGGGTGTTCCAAGTTTATCTATGACTGACAGACAACCTCCACCAGCAGCATTCCGTCAACAGCCACCTCCAATGAAATCATGTCTATCCTGTCACCAACAAATCCACCGAAATGCACCAATATGTCCACTATGTAAGGCTAAAAGCCGTTCCCGTAATCCAAAAAAGCCAAAACGGAAAACCGAAGACTGAAAAGTTGCAAGAAAAACAAATGGAAACGAAAAAAAAACCAACACCAGTATTACAATCAAATACTTAAAAAGAAAAACATCAATTTTTCCTCTCTCTTTCTACCACAACCCCAAACAACTACAACAATTAACAATTTTACCAATGGTAAAAATCAATTGTTTTTAATTTAAATTAACTCTTCAATCTCAATTCTTAGATCAGATCATACAAAAAAAGCTAAACCATTTTTTTTACTCTCCATTGTACTTATTCATTCAATGTAATTATTTTCCTTTCATTTCTTACTTTACAGTATGTGTGTATGTGTGTCTCCAAGCAATACCCTTAATAGAATTAAACAAAAAAAATTCAAAGAAAATTAATTGCAATTACAATTAATTCCATCAATCAAAAGTTAACATTCGAATGACTCATTGATAGATCAACACAAAGAGAATCAGCTGATCGGTTTAGTAAATTTTTTCTCTTTTCTCTCATTTCTTTTTCTCAAAAAATTAACTAATTGTTTCTTCTAATTGTTGAATGGAACCTCAATTTACTTTGGACAAATTAAAGATCAGCCAACAATGGGTAAGTGAACATGTTAATTTCTCACCAATAATTAATTTCCAATCCAAAGGCTAAGCTTTTTTCCCATCACTTTATTTGCTTGAGTGAAGATTCAACCCCAACCTTAAACACCTCGATCTTTCATTTCCCTCTCTAATTGTTCCCGCTTTTAATTGTAATAATGAAGAAGATGATGAAGATGATCATCTCACCTTGCAGATGATAATTTTCCCGTTCTCAATTAAATCCAAAGTCAATGAATCTGATCTGAGAGTCTTTCGATGTTTATATTTTTGTTTCTTTCTCTTTGTATTGATATCGCTTCTAATTTAGGCCTTGCAAATGGCAAAAACTAAATTAGCCTCATATGATAATATAATCAACGAATATGAATCATTAAAAGGTAACATGGAAATGCTGGTTAAAAAGGTTAATCATCCAATTATGGTTCCAATTTGTCACAATATGAGAAAGGAAGACGCTCCATTGGCCTTTATGCCAGGAAATCTTGACCACACTAATCAGGTGATGGTTTCATTGGGTGACAATTGGTTTGCTGACCGGTCGGTTTCTCAGGCCGTTGAAATTGCCGAAAGAAGAATTAAGTTTGTCAAAGAGAGAAAAGTCGAAACCGAAAAGGAAATCGAATCAATTAACAATTGGTTCAAATTCACCTCACAATTAGCAGAGGAATCGAAAGACTTGGTTGAAATAATGGAGGAATATGATGAAGAAGCTGAAGCAAAATGGAGGGAAGAACATAAAAGAAAAGTTAAATTGCACAAGGAGCGGGAGAAATTAATGAGACAACAAGAGTAATTAACGATAATTATGGTGATTATTTGTTAATTTATTTTCCAACATTTTCTATTTACAAACATAAGTTGATTTAACGAAAGCAAATTGATTTATGTAAGTGAAAAGCTTCAAATGAAAACGCTAAAAAAAAAGGTCAAACAAAATGGCCGACAAATTTTTACCTGTTGGTCTAATGAACAATTAAAATACATTATTGAAATTTATATAAATATTTACATGAATGGAAGATTAACTTTAATCACTTGTGATAATAAGTTATGTTATTAAAGTGATTGAATGTTGGAAAAATTTGTATGGACAAAAATCGGATTGTTGATCATTTGGTGTGGGAAAAGTTTCGGTTCAATTGTTGAGGTTTCAGATGATTAAAAGTCGCTTTGGATGAACGATGATAATTTCGTATAGTAGATGAGACGGAATTATTATTGTAATTAGAATGTTTTGGCTTCGATTCAAGCGAATGGCAAGAAGATATCACAATTAGAATGGACATTTTGTTCAGGTTCGGATTTTGTGCTTCGTTTTATCACCTTGGTGATATCAAAATGGTGGACGGAAGATGGATGCTGATGATGATAAGGAGGAAATGGAAGATGAAAGGATGTTGATGAAGGTGAGATTTTTTTCGTTTTTCAGTTGATAGTGAGAAATGATTGTATAAATATGAACAATTGCATAAATATTATTATTTTACATAAAGAACGTGCTCTTTGTCTTTCTGTCCTTTTGTCTCTCTCTTTCTCTTTTTCTGTGATTTATACTAATTAATTGTGTAAAATCTACGAGTTAATTGTGATTGAAGAGAGACAATTGACATAGAATTTTGTATTAGAACGTCGCTGGACTACTAGTTGGTGGGGAATATGATCGACGTTTTTTTGTAATTCGTCTTGCAGATTGTCGAGTGTTATGAATCTTATTTGTTTCGATCTTTTCTATTTTCTCAGTTTCATTATTATTAATTTCTTTATCGTTGCAGTGATGAACATGATTATGGCGAGTGTGGTGATGATGATGATGATGAGCATCTTCATCGTCTTCTGATTCTGTGTCATCGTAATAATCATCGTTATTATTATTGGAGTTGTTGTTAAGATCTCGTTTCCTTTTCTTTGTATTACTTGTAGTAATTTTTGTTATTGTTGTTGTTGTTGTTTCTTGAATTTGTTTTTTGTTGACAAGTGATGAAGGTGTTAAAGATGAAGATTGAGTTTGATTATGTTGAGGTGGAGATGATGTAGTTGATAAAGGATTTGGTGAATATCCTGTTGATCTTAATCCTGGTGAAGATGCTAAAGATTGTAAAGGTAATGGAGATGATGTTATCTGTGCATTTGATGAAGATGCAATTGGCGAGGATGATATTGTTATTGGTCCATTATTATTACTATTATTATTATTATTATTATCCCGTTTAACTTTTAATGGAACCTTTGACTTTGCATTAAATGGACTACTACTAAGTGGAGATGGAGGCATTGATGGAGCTACTGATTCATCGCTACTGTCTTCAGTTAGATCGATTTGTTTCATGTGAGCTCGTTCCTGAAATATTTTAAATAAGAAAATATTTTATAAATTAGAAAAGATAATTGATTGGGGGAAAAAAAGAAATGAAATAAATACTAACCAACAAAGTTAAATCGACTGTGTGATATTGCATATTGGACCAAGAGCCATTTGTAACATTCGCTGGTACTTTTGGCTCAATCATTCCCGTTTCTCGAACCGCCAATGCAAAAGGTGTCATCCAAATGATACAGTCCCTGATATCTGGATGTTTGAATCCTATGGAAAAGAAAGAGAGAAGAGAAAGAGAGAATTGGAAGATAGAAAAGAGGGGAGAAGTAAGAGGGAGAAGGAGAAGGAGAGGGAGAGGGAAGATGGAATAAAGGAGAAAAACGAGGGATAAAAAAGAAAGAAATAACAGAGAAAGAAAGAGAGAGAGAAAGAGAGAGAGAGAGAGAGAGAAAAAGAAAAAGTTGTAAATAACTGGTTCCAATATCGAAAAGAAAAGAAAACTTACTTGTACAAGAATAAACTGTTTCTTCATCGGTGAAATGATAAAACGCCGATGCTGCGATAACATCGTAATTATATTGCAAAGATCCAATGTCCAACATGCACAAGTCGATCAGATGAGCCACTTGGACGAAAAACGTTGCACTGTAATTTGGAATTAGAAATTTCTCTCCGGTCGAACGAGCCTCTGGATCTCGATTGTTCTCCTTCTCCAGAATCGAATAAATTTGCATAAAAATCGACAACCATTTGTTCACTGTCACCGGATGAAGTGACCATTTCAGTGTCTCCATGATGACTAGTTCTTGACTGAATATCTCGCAATCGGTACAAGCTCCATCAGTGACTGCGGCGAACTCAGTGCTCTTTGGTGGATACACTTCCTCAATTTTGGCAGCGATAAAGAGACAAGTGGTCCCGATCAATTGCAACTGTTGCCGAGGAAGGTCACTCTTCTTGGTCAAGTATCGGTCCACAAAATCAAGGGCCAAGTAAAATGTCTCTCGGTGCAGTTTGAACAATTCACTCACTTCACTCAGCCAGTCCAACAGAATCGATCTCATCCTCGGTGTGATGTTCGGATGTTTGGCCAACAAGTGACTATCACGACAATAAATCTCCTTGATATTAATCATGGATTCCCACATTTCTGTTGAGTCACTCATGTTCAGTGTGGGCAAAGGTGAAGGACGAACTCGGCGGGAAGAAGATGAACAAGACTGAGTCACATTGGGTGTTAGAATTCCTGGTTGAGTCTCCATGTTGTACACTAGGAAGAAACGAACACCTCACAGAGAAACAACAGAGAAAGAGAGAGAGAGAAAGAAGAGAAGTAATGAAAGAAAGAGAGTAAAGAGAAAAGAGAGAAAAAACCAGAGAAAAATAGAAACAAAGAGAGAAAAATGCTCAACAGAAAAAGAAGCTTTTTCTCTTAAGGGTAAACAATTATTTCTCTTTTCCAATAAGCATTTTAAGATTCTAATGAAGGTGATTAATTGAAACTGATTAAGGACAATGATTGTTTGTAGATGTTTACAGTTGATTAAGATGGAGACCAAGACCAAGATGAAGATGAGAATATGAAAATAAGAAAATAAGAAAATAAGAAAATATTATCAAGAGAATGTTGTTCTTTTTGTTGTTGACGTTTTAATGATGAGCAAATGGAAACACGACCAGTAAAGCACAAGAATAGAAAATGATGATAAATGTTTTATAATAAAACCGGGAAAAGATTAACAATTATCCCGAATATTTGGTTAAAGGTTGACAATCGACGTTCACGATCATTGAGAAGAAAAATGAACCATAGGAAAAGAAAGAGAAAAACACAGAGAGAGAGAGAATTAGTGGGGGAGATGGAAGATAAAGATTGAGAGAGAAATAGAGAGAGGGAGATTCATTCAGTGAGAATCACAAATACAGAAGGAGAGAGAGGGAGAGAGAGAGAAGATGAAAAAAAAAGAAAATGAGTGAGACCAGAAAACCAGAATAAAAAGAAGAAAAAATTTATGAAGATGAGAACGAGTGAGAATAAAAAGTAACACGAACAAGAAGAAGAAGGGAGTCCAAATGTGAGAGAGAGAGAGAGAGAGAAGAGAGAGAGAAAAGAAAGAGAAATAGATACAGAGAGTAAAAAAATTAGAGGGAAAGAGAGAGAAAAAAGAAAGAAATTGAAAGAGAAAGAGAATAAAGAAAGAGTGAATCAAGAATAAACAAAGATCATTTCCCTCTCTTTTTCACTTTCTTTACCATGTGTGTCTCCCTCTAGTTTCCATCCCCTTGTCATCATTTTCCCCTTCCCGCCAACAGCTGATCCAAGAACAATTTTCAAAATCATAATAATACAAAAATCTTTTCTTTTCAATTCTATTTCCATTCATTACAATCTATTTTCACCTATTTCTATTTAAAATTTCTTCCAATCGATTGTCAATTATATTGACGATCACGGGAATTTATTTAAGACTTGAAACAATGAAACATGGCGATCCAGAGTAGCCCTCAGAAAAGACTGACCTTATCCGGGATTTATGATTATATTATCAAAAATTATCCATTTTATCGTTCCAATAAACAGTTCTGTACTCATTTTGTTGTAAATTATCATCATTATTGACCAACAAAAACAATCTAATGACATGAGTTGAACTCTGGTAGATAGACACTGACAAGATTAAAGTGAAAGGGAAGCCATGATGACGATGATGATGGTGGTCAGTATGAAAAGTAACACATTTACTAACAATTGACCAGAAGCAAAAAAAGCAACAAAATTTTGATCAAAATTTTGCAACACGAAAAAACAAACTAATCAACAAATTATGTTTTCTAATTTTATTTTATTTCCTTAGATTCCAATAAGAATTAACTAATCTTGAATGATTGTACACAGAATTATTTAATTGATTTGATGAATTGGGTGGAAAAACAAATGGTTGATTAACTAACGAACAATAGTTGAGTCCAATGTTGTTGTTAGGTTGAAGTGAATGAATAATTGATCGTCGAAACGAATGTTCTAATCGAGCTCGAGATGATGAAGAACTTTTTTTCGCCTCAACTTGCCTGACGATTCACCAAGAAAACTTCATTCGAAGCACTTGGACCCAACATCCAATAGTTTCCTTTTCCGGGATCATCGTAACTTCTTGGCACTTTGATGAAACACTTATTCAGGGATAAATTGTGTCTTATTGAATTCTGCCAACCCTGTTTATTGGAACGATGAATGTAAATTAATATTATTATGATTTTGAAAATTGTTCTTGGATCAGCTGTTGGCGGGAAGGGGAAAATGATGACAAGGGGATGGAAACTAGAGGGAGACACACATGGTAAAGAAAGTGAAAAAGAGAGGGAAATGATCTTTGTTTATTCTTGATTCACTCTTTCTTTATTCTCTTTCTCTTTCAATTTTTTCTTTTTTCTCTCTCTTTCCCTCTAATTTTTTTACTCTCTGTATCTATTTCTCTTTCTTTCTCTCTCTCTCTCTCTCTCTCTCTCTCTCTCACATTTGGACTCCCTTCTTCTTCTTGTTCGTGTTACTTTTTATTCTCACTCGTTCTCATCTTCATAAATTTTTTCTTCTTTTTATTCTGGTTTTCTGGTCTCACTCATTTTCTTTTTTTTTCATCTTCTCTCTCTCTCTCTCCCTCTTTCTCCTTCTGTATTTGTGATTCTCACTGAATGAATCTCCCTCACTCTATTTCTCTCTCAATCTTTATCTTCCATCTCCCCCACTAATTCTCTCTCTCTCTCTCTCTCTGTGTTTTTCTTTCTTTTCCTATGGTTCATTTTTCTTCTCAATGATCGTGAACGTCGATTGTCAACCTTTAACCAAATATTCGGGATAATTGTTAATCTTTTCCCGGTTTTATTATAAAACATTTATCATCATTTTCTATTCTTGTGCTTTACTGGTCGTGTTTCCATTTGCTCATCATTAAAACGTCAACAACAAAAAGAACAACATTCTCTTGATAATATTTTCTTATTTTCTTATTTTCTTATTTTCATATTCTCATCTTCATCTTGGTCTTGGTCTCCATCTTAATCAACTGTAAACATCTACAAACAATCATTGTCCTTAATCAGTTTCAATTAATCACCTTCATTAGAATCTTAAAATGCTTATTGGAAAAGAGAAATAATTGTTTACCCTTAAGAGAAAAAGCTTCTTTTTCTGTTGAGCATTTTTCTCTCTTTGTTTCTATTTTTCTCTGGTTTTTTCTCTCTTTTCTCTTCACTCTCTTCACTCTCTTTCTTTCATTACTTCTCTTCTTTCTCTCTCTCTCTTTCTCTGTTGTTTCTCTGTGAGGTGTTCGTTTCTTCCTAGTGTACAACATGGAGACTCAACCAGGAATTCTAACACCCAATGTGACTCAGTCTTGTTCATCTTCTTCCCGCCGAGTTCGTCCTTCACCTTTGCCCACACTGAACATGAGTGACTCAACAGAAATGTGGGAATCCATGATTAATATCAAGGAGATTTATTGTCGTGATAGTCACTTGTTGGCCAAACATCCGAACATCACACCGAGGATGAGATCGATTCTGTTGGACTGGCTGAGTGAAGTGAGTGAATTGTTCAAACTGCACCGAGAGACATTTTATTTGGCCCTTGATTTTGTGGACCGATACTTGACCAAGAAGAGTGACCTTCCTCGGCAACAGTTGCAATTGATCGGGACCACTTGTCTCTTTATCGCTGCCAAAATTGAGGAAGTGTATCCACCAAAGAGCACTGAGTTCGCCGCAGTCACTGATGGAGCTTGTACCGATTGCGAGATATTCAGTCAAGAACTAGTCATCATGGAGACACTGAAATGGTCACTTCATCCGGTGACAGTGAACAAATGGTTGTCGATTTTTATGCAAATTTATTCGATTCTGAGAAGGAGAACAATCGAGATCCAGAGGCTCGTTCGACCGAGAGAAATTTCTAATTCCAAATTACAGTGCAACGTTTTTCGTCCAAGTGGCTCATCTGATCGACTTGTGCATGTTGGACATTGGATCTTTGCAATATAATTACGATGTTATCGCAGCATCGGCGTTTTATCATTTCACCGATGAAGAAACAGTTTATTCTTGTAAGTAAGTTTTCTTTTCTTTCGATATTGGAACCAGTTATTTACAACTTTTTCTTTTTCTCTCTCTCTCTTTCTCTTTCTCTCTCTCTTTCTTTCTTTCTCTGTTATTTCTTTCTTTTTATCCTCGTTTTCTCCTTTATTCCATCTTCCTCTCCCTCCTTCTCCTTCTCCTCTTACTTCTCCCTTTTCTATCTTCCACCTTCTTTCTTCTCTCTTCTTTTCCATAGGATTCAAACATCCAGATATCAGGGACTGTATCATTTGGATGACACCTTTGCATTGGCGGTTCGAGAACGGAATGATTGAGCCAAAAGTACCAGCGAATGTTACAAATGGCTCTTGGTCCAATATGCAATATCACACAGTCGATTTAACTTTGTTGGTTAGTATTTATTTCATTTTTTTCCCCAATCAATTATCTTTTCTAATTTATAAAATATTTTCTTATTTAAAATATTTCAGGAACGAGCTCACATGAAACAAATCGATCTAACTGAAGACAGTAGCGATGAATCAGTAGCTCCATCAATGCCTCCATCTCCACTTAGTAGTAGTCCATTTAATGCAAAGTCAAAGGTTCCATTAAAAGTTAAACGGGATAATAATAATAATAATAGTAATAATAATGGACCAATAACAATATCATCCTCGCCAATTGCATCTTCATCAAATGCACAGATAACATCATCTCCATTACCTTTACAATCTTTAGCATCTTCACCAGGATTAAGATCAACAGGATATTCACCAAATCCTTTATCAACTACATCATCTCCACCTCAACATAATCAAACTCAATCTTCATCTTTAACACCTTCATCACTTGTCAACAAAAAACAAATTCAAGAAACAACAACAACAACAACAATAACAAATATTACTACAAGTAATACAAAGAAAAGGAAACGAGATCTTAACAACAACTCCAATAATAATAACGATGATTATTACGATGACACAGAATCAGAAGACGATGAAGATGCTCATCATCATCATCATCATCATCATCACCACACTCGCCATAATCATGTTCATCACTGCAACGATAAAGAAATTAATAATAATGAAACTGAGAAAATAGAAAAGATCGAAACAAATAAGATTCATAACACTCGACAATCTGCAAGACGAATTACAAAAAAACGTCGATCATATTCCCCACCAACTAGTAGTCCAGCGACGTTCTAATACAAAATTCTATGTCAATTGTCTCTCTTCAATCACAATTAACTCGTAGATTTTACACAATTAATTAGTATAAATCACAGAAAAAGAGAAAGAGAGAGACAAAAGGACAGAAAGACAAAGAGCACGTTCTTTATGTAAAATAATAATATTTATGCAATTGTTCATATTTATACAATCATTTCTCACTATCAACTGAAAAACGAAAAAAATCTCACCTTCATCAACATCCTTTCATCTTCCATTTCCTCCTTATCATCAGCATCCATCTTCCGTCCACCATTTTGATATCACCAAGGTGATAAATTCAACTGCATTTTGATAAGCAAAACACAAAACAATAATGAAAATGAGTTAAATTGTGATATCTTTTACATTCGTTGTCCCAACAATTAACCTCTAACAGTAACAATCTTTATTAATTGCTATCGTTAATCCATATATTTTTTTCATCAAACAATTAAGTTTAAATAAAGTACAATAATAAATAAAGTAAACTAAACCTGAGCCACTTATCATTTAAATCAACTAATCCAATTTGTAAATATCCCAATTAAATTGAAACAAATGATTAACCAGAAAAAGATTAATCATCTTTCAAAGTCAATATGGATTAACTCAATAATCAAATTAAAAGAAATCAAGATTAAGGAAAAAAAATCAAATCAATTGAAATTGATATTCAATTGGTTTTGAAATCAATTCCTCTTTTCAATTGATTATAAGTAACAATCAACCGATATAAATAGTAATCAAAGTAACAGAATAATAATATAAATTGATTGTTGTAACTCTAAGCCAAATTAAAAAGTTATTGATTTAGATCAAATTTCAATGATTGATAATCATCCATGTATCAAGATTATCTTAGTGATTTAATCACAATCGGAATATAATAGGAAACAATTGATTAAATCCCATTGACGTTGAATTGTGTTAACCTGATCCGGTTTGATAAAAAAAAACTGATCACAATTTGATTGTGATCAACGATAAAATGAAAATATGATTAGTTGATTACAGTTGATTGTTGAGATTAGTTGGTCGATCAGTAAACTTACAATTACCTTTGTCTTTGTCTCTAAGTTTTTTATTAATTGTGACAACGACTTTTTTTACTTTTGATTTTCATATTTGATTGTGTTTTAATCAAGACTGTTAAAAGATTCACATTTAATTGTGTCTCTTGCGTTGAGTGTGTTACAATTAACTAATTGCTGTTGATTTACATAAAAATTAAAAGGATGAATTTAAATTCACTTTTACACCAATCATTGTCAATCATTGGTTGTCTTTACTTAATTGCTCTGCTCCTCTCGATGACCACAGTTAATTGTAATCAAGGTAAGTTGATTCAATTTTTCATTCTCCACAACAATTAACTAATTATCCAATGGTTGACTTTATTTCAATAAGAATCAAATGAATGGAAATACTTTAATGAATTAGGAACATCTCCAATTGATTTAACAAATAAATTAGAGGAAAAAAGAGGTGTAAGTAATTAAGTTAATTTAATTGTTTGGAAGAAAAAGTTTTCTAATTGATTCTAATTGTTACCGTTATTTAGATTAACCTTGGACGAAAGGTAAGTTAATTATTACAATTATCTCTCTCATTATTATATTGTAATCTTTTCATATGTAAATACAATTAACAATTAACTGGGATAATCAACATTACCAAGATGGTGAGTTTTAAACAATTAACTTGAAATGCATTTTGAAATTAACTAATTGTTCATCTATTTATTGCTAATTGTCAATCAATATTCAACTCCTGAAGATGTGCCGAGTAAGTAATCAATTGAATTTAATTAAATTAACCGAACAATTTATCTAAATTAACTTGATTGTCAATTCTCAGATAATTATGATAAATTAATATGGAAAAATTTAATTACTTGAAATATGAATTTACTAATTATTAATTTTTTTCTCCTTCTTTTGTTAATTTGATTAATTAGATGGATCCAAGGGTGAGTTTAATTGTGATAATGTTGATGGTTTACAATTAGTTTTATTAATTGTTAATTGCTTTTAAATTATATCACTTGGAAATGATGGGAAATTGAATTTTCAAATTGTTAACAATTACCAACAATTAAAAACATCAGAATTGTGCTGGGGTAAGTTAATTTAATTAATTGTTTAAAAAGACAAACAATCATTTTGAAAGCAAATGATTAGGTAACTATTAATAATTACAATTAGTTAATCATTTTTGATTCATTGTTATTATATTGGTAAAAATCAAGTTAATTTGGTTACAAGAAATTACAAATTAATCAGTGATTCTTGTCACGTTAATGATTATTAAATTAAATTTAATTCTGTTTATCTTGTAAACATAAACTAAATTAACTGATTGTTACACCATTGAGACAAAGATTATAATATAAACAAACATTTAATTAACTAAATTGTTTCATTCCAATTGATAATAATCAACTTATATTATTAAGCTTTGAAAATAGATACAAAGTTAATTTATAACAATGAATAAATTGTCACAATTAACAGTTGAATTTGATGTTACATCAACAAACAATTAGTTCAAACAATCAAGGTACATACATATAAATCAACTTTGATCAGGAAATACCAACAACAACAATCAATAAATTAGATAATACAATTAGCAATTATGTCAAATCCCAATCCAAGTTGAATGAATTAACTGTTAATTGTTGATGATTTTCACCATTAAGAAATCAGATAAAACTAATTCCCAACAATTACGGATTCTAATTACAAAATGATTGAAAACATAAACTAAATCAATTTAATTGTTGATCAATGTTTGTTTGTGTTGACTGTTAAATGATTGGAAAGGAGAAAAGTTAATTGGCAATTTAAATATAAATTGTAATCCGAGTAAATTAATAACAATGATAATTTTGATTCCATTGATTAAGTAAATAGCCTGAAACATTGACAATTTAATTTAAGGATGAAAACCCAATCAAAAGCCAACCTAATGATTAGATTGTTGATTTGATCAACTCAACGAAACATTAACACAATTTACAATCAATTTAATTAGTTTGATTTGAGAAATTAAACAAATTCTTGTTTTCCGAAAACTCGTCAGAAATTGTTTACGATTTTTCAACTGCACAATTAGCTAATTGTCATCATTAAGATTGCGGTGGAAAAGTTATCATTAGTAAGGAAAGAAAATTTTTCTCATGTTATACAGATTCGAGGGTTCGAACTAGAAAAAAGTTCTAATCGTTTACCTGTCAAGTTGAACAACATTTTCACGAACAATTTGGTAAACATTTATTTCTATTATTTTTATGATTGATTATCATGTTTAATATGAGAGCGAAAAAAAGTAGCAAATTGATTGTTCGAAGTTTTGTTTTTTTCTCCACATCAAATTAACTTAATTGTTGTGATTAATTGTTGAACATTATTCGTGTGTTTATCTCAAGCTTCTTGCCGATACGAGTCCATACCAACGAAACGTAGTGTACCGACGAGCTGAGGGTTTCCTTCACCCTGATTCTGATTCTGTAAGTTTCATTTTTCACCCTGAATTTCATCATGAAATCCAACATGGCAATGATTAGCTAATTATCTTCACACTTACATTTGATTATTCATCTAATATTAAACAGAGAGACTCAATTTCCCGATCATTGGATTCCAGGTTACCAATACTTCCTGATAATGGGTAAGCAATTTAACTGAATTAACCTTCAAAAAGTTAATCATCACAATGTAAACAATTTAAATTTTATTTCAAGAGTAACAATTTAAATGTTTCCCGGTGATTTAATGAAAAGTAGATCACAATTTTTTGTTTTTCTTATTGTTGATCTGATTTCAACTCATTGATTCATATGAGATCATGAAGTTTGATCAATTTTAATTACAATTTATATTTATATCATTAGGACCAAAGCTTTGACAATATTGAGTATGTTTACTTAATATTGTCAAATAATCAAGTTAATCTGATTCAAGATTCAACAATTTTGATGGTTTACAATTTGATTAACTGTCAATCAATCAATCAGCAACCAACCAATATGATAAATAATGCTTATATTGATAAGCTTATTTAGTCGACTAAATTAAAATTATTTGGAAATTAATTTATGAACTTTTTTTTCTGTTTTCATTTCCTTTCAGACGATATTGATAATCTTAGGAATGAAACTCAGTTCATGATGGTTACATGGGTGATGGGAGCTTTTTATTAACTCTTCCTTTGCATCAAATGAATTGGAAGTTGAAAAGTTCATGATAGAAAATGAATAATAAATAATAACCCTCAACATAAAAACGAAGCTTATTTTACATTGGAGAGAAAATAAATTCCAACTTGAATTGAACTTTTCTCCACAATTCGATAGCATAATGAGAATTACATGATGTCTCTCTCTCTCTCTCTCTCTTCTATCATCATTATCATCATTTCGGTGTAAACAAAAATCTGACAATGAGTCAGTATCATGAAGAAAATTCAATTTCCATAAGAAAGAAAAAATTTATCACCATAAATTCATCTAAAGTTTCATGTTTTGGTTTTCTTATTGACTAAATATCCTTCTCACTCTCTCTCTCTCTCTTCCTCTTTAATAATTATTCAATTGTAATTATCTTTGATTAATTGATTAATTGATTGAGCTGATTGTGATGATTTAATTCAATTAACTTTCTATTTTGTTTGTCTTGTTGTCTATAGATTAGTAAGTTGATCAATAAAAAAAAACAAATAAGTTCATTGAATGTCAAACTTTTTCATCGTTTTCCCAATCCACCAAATTGTAAACAACAACAACAACAACCAATTAACTTGATAATATTTCAATCAATTAAAAATGAGTAGAGAAAAAGTTTCCATTGAACTTTATTCAGTTTCATATATATTTACATGTCAACATGGTGATTGTTAGTATGACATTGATTGGAAAACAACATTTGATTTGATCAAAAGAAGAAGGAAAAAAAGCTCAGATATTTATATGTGAATAGGAATTGATGAGAATAAAATTTCACAGAATTTATCTTTTCTTTTTTTCTTCTATTCTAAAGTTGAAATTGTGATTATTTCCTCCATGAGAATGCTGATTATTCAGGAAAAAGATTGAAACTTCCGATAGTAAATAAAGTTACTTTTTGATTTCTTTTTATTTACTTAACCCTGGATAAGTTTTACCATCTTAATGATATTCAATCATCATGATGAGAGATAAATTTAAATGCACAAATTTCAATTCCATCTGAATACTGAGAAAAATCATCACCATGAATTCCTCATGATTTATGTAACAAAGTATTCAAATGAAACATTTAGAAGACAAGAAAACAAAAACATAAATGAAGTAAAAGCTTTAAAGAAATTAAAATACAATTAAGTTAATTGTAGATAGATAATTAATCAACCATCATTAGCTGAATCATTAGACTTGTTAATTTCTTGCTTTTTTTTATACATAATCAAGTTAATCAGATTCTCTGGATGGTTTAATCATAATTTAAGTGAATTATGATGATGATAAATCATCACAAGGCTTCAACTGTTTGTTTACAATTAGAATCGTTTGTATGTTGAACAGTAAATCGTAAAATTTTAGGTCCATTGATCAATTGATTACTCGAATTGATTGTGGCAACGACATTGGTTGGACTAATTGTTGTGCTGGTGGACGAGTTGGTATTGGTCATCATCGTAGTGGTCATTGAATCAACATTGGTAACAACATGATTCTCATCAATATTACAATTTAAATTATCAACACTATTTGTCTCTTGATTATTGTTAATTGTATTACTAATACATGAATTATCATTAATAGCATTTTTTTTACTATTAATATTGTTATTATTTGGTGTTGGCTTTGGCGTTGTTGGTGTTGTTGATTTAGATTTAAATTGTTGCTGGTTAATTATGTTATTAGCGTTGTTTGTGTGATTGGTTAGAAATGTGTTACTGTGTAAATTGTTATTCCTAATTGAGTTACCCATTGAAACGTGAATTGAGGCCAAAGGTACATCTAAATGTCTCCGTCTTCGTCGGGTATCACAGGATAACATACGTTTAAAGGCTCGACGAAACTTGACCGAAAGTGCATTGTAAAGTATCGGGTTAATTGCTGAATTAACAAATATCATCGTTTTACAAAACATTAAATACCAAAGTTCCATGTATCTTTGTTCAGCCATTGAATTATACACCAGGAGGGCACGATAAGGTAACCATAGGGTGGCAAAAACGGCGACAATTACAACCAACATTTTGACAACCTAAAGTATCATTTGGGTAAAAGAATGACAATTAGTTATTCAATCATGGTGATCAATTGGTTTATCGAAAGAGTTAATTTATAGTTTGATTATTTATTATTATTATCGCAATTTCAGTTGATAGTATTAATATATTGATGTTTCAATGGGAACAGAACGTTGAGAAAAAAAAACAAATCATGGAAATTTATTCCTCCTATTTTTCTAGTTTCATGATAGTTCAGAATGGTAATCATGATTTTCTGCCTATTGATGAAATTGTTGATTCCCTTTGTATCAATTTATCAGTTAATTCAATTTAAATTTAGTTACATTATCATACATAAAGTTAAAGGAATAGGGTGTAAATCAGAGGAGCAGATAGATAGAGAAGGTTAATCAATTCTGATATTATTGATTAAGAATCAGAATCGATTCATGTGAACAATTTAAATTGAACATTAAGACTAATCAATAAGTTTTCAAACAGTTTTCACAGATCAAAATTGCAATCAATTCATTAAATCATTTTCATTGCGATTCTATTTTTGAAATTACCATACATTATTCATTTTTCATGGTAAATTTGAAAATCAGGAATCAACTTGAAGGTAAAAAATCACAATCAAATTTTTCAATTTGAATCATAATTCACCCTGAGGTAAAGTTCAATTGAACTGTGTGAGGATAAACTCATGGAGTCATTTGGAAACTAGAACTTGTTGAATATTTATCGGCATAAATCAATAAAATTTATAAATTAATTGTTCAGATAGAGATGGAAAAATTTCCTATGAAAATATTGTATTCAGATGATAATTGTATATTTTTGAATTCATGGTCCTAGAAAAAATTAACTATTACAATATTGTGTTGACAATTTGATCAAATTAAATTGACATTGTCATCAAATTGTATTCAAAGCAAATGCTGATGAAATTTTCTTATTCAAAAGGTAAATAAATCTTATTATTTTATTGTAATCATGATATATCAACAATAAACAAAGTATCATGTGGTATTTATTGTATAAACACCATGATGAAATGTGATAAAAATGTTAAATATTTTATACGATAAAATTATTACATATTCAGATTCAATTCTGACAAAATTCAATAATCTTCATGAATGATTTCTCATGACCAATGGTAATTTAATAATAATATCATATAAATCTTAGAATCTAAAATTTGAAAACGTTTTATTGAATTTCATGGAAACTGGATATGAAAACTCAGCAGGATCATCATGATACTTGATATATACAGGGTAATTCAGCTACTTTGTTGGTTTGCGAAATTATTCAGAAACGACTTGAGCGATAGAGTCCATATTTTGTCTTTGGAGGTTTGACCGACACTCAATTGTCATATTTCAAGGTCATAAAGGTTATTTAGTTTATTTATTTTGCAAGTATTTGGGTATTTTCTCAATAAGTTCATATAGTCTAATTAATCCTTTGATTTTTGTATGCTCATTAATTAACTTTCTAAAATCATATGATTCAGGACGAAGAAAAACATCCTTCGAAAATTCCATGATCTATACAAAGACAGTAAAAGGTTTTGAATTAACAAATTTTTCATAAAATTGAATCCATGGGAAATTGAATCTGTCCGATTATAGCACATTCAAGGCCATCTATTTGGTTACTTTTCACAATTATATTAATAATAGATTTTGATTGACCGATTGATTTTGTTTTTTCACAAAATTTAGACAAGAAATGAGCTAACTTCTGATTCACTTTCTCACATTTTTCTAAGTCGATGAGTTTTATGTCTGGTAATAGTTTAACCATTGCTTCTACATAACTATTGTCAACTCTGTAGCCTCTGATTCCAAGATGATGTAATATTATTCAAATTCTCCAAGTGCGTTCTTTCCTAAATAACCTTTATGACTTTGGCCTTGAAATATGACAATTGGGTGTCGGTCAAACCTCCATTGACAAAATATGGACTCTATCGCTCAATTGGTTTTTGAATAATTTTGAAAAGAAAACCAACAAAGTAGCTGAATTGCCCTGTATTTATACACCAAGAAACTGTGGTTGAAAATAAAATGAATCCAATGATTCAGTTAATTGTCACCTCTTAACATAAATGTCATGTTACCCTCAATGACCTTGAGGCTATTCATCAATACAATATTTACTTTTTCTCATCTTAATCTCATGGAATCAGTATCATGAAATTTTGTTCTTGTATTGAACTTTTTTCCCCTTTCTCTTTCTCAATGTTATCATTATCATTATCTTTGAACTTTGATAGTGATGATGATAATAACAGTACCAACAATACGAGTATCATTTTCACTCATCTTCATTGATTCGGTCATCCGATGATAATGATGATGATGATGATAGAAAAAGGATGAAAAAAAAGATGATCAAAATGATTGGTAAGATAATGTGACACAAAAAAAGGTCTCATCCTATTGGGATGTATGTGTGTTCCAATCAAACTGGACAATGACAATGGTCAAGTGTAAACTAAATGAACCGGAAATGGGTCAACATGATGACGATGATTCAATATCAGAAATTTACTATTTACTTTTCAATCAAGAGTAAATATGATGTCACCCACAATCAGGTATTCAGTTGATTTTATATATCTAATACATTACACACAGAATTCATTACTATCCTGATGACAATGTTTCTCATTCAATTATCATGATAACTATTAGGAAATAAATTCTGTTTAAATATACAAACAGAATTTGAAACTTTTATAATCTCATGAAACTTTTAGAAAACTTTCAACTTCAATTGTCCACTTACTCAAATTATATGATACAAACTTTTTAGATTCTGAGTTGATAAAAAAAAGAAACTCTCTGATAAGTAACCCTCAGGGTATTGAAATCACCATTGAATTTTCAATCATTATCATGATCAAATGAAACATAATCATCTATTATTACTAACCTTGTGTCTTTTACAGAAAAAGTTAATGTCAAACATGATGTTTCATGGGAGAAATAAAAATCTATCTGAAACATGAGGTTAAAACAAGAGAAGGAGAAACAAAAACAACTCAATTTCCGAATAACCAGAATTTCCTGGTTTACTTGTTTGAATTTTCACAGAATTTTCAACGTATTCATGTTCTCATTTCATGGTCAATTCCCATGTTACTTGTCATTGTTAGTTGTTCATCATCTTACCATGAAAACTGGAAGATACTCTGAACCTTAAAATTTTTCTCTTCTTCTTCAATTTCATGGTAAATAATTTTTCTCCTTTTCTATGAGCACAGTTACTGATTTTTCACTAAAGTGACACTGGACAAAAAAAATGACCAGAATAACAGAGTATCATTTATAATATTCAATGAATTTCATGTTATATTGAACTTGAATTGGGTCAGAAAAATATTCAAGCCGTTGTTTATTATTGTTGTTGCTAAAACTTTAGGCTCTCTTTTTTCATGGCGGTCAAAATGATGATAATCCTCCGATAACAATAAACCCACTGATCAATTCATTCATTAATCTTGTTAACAATGTTAATTTAATCTCTTAGACAATAAGATATTAATATTAATTCTGGTGACCTTTTTTGATATTCCTCTTGCTCAATATTATCTCTTGTTCAGGATGAAAAGATTCATTGAAGATTCTCAGACTCTCTCTCTCTCTCTCTCTCTCTCTCTCTCTCTCTCTTGCTGATTTATCATCCATATACACTCTCATTATAACCATGATAATAACTGAATAGTTATTCACGATTGAATAGATAGTTAGAGATAAAAGAAGAGAAAAGTTCTAAGAATAGCTTAAAAGATTAGATTAACCTGTTAATCTAATCCAGGAGTAAATTAATGTAACACTGACAAAGGTGTGAAAAAAAGTTTGATGATAAAAGAAAAGGTATATAAATCTGTTAATAAGAACTTTTTTTCTTCCTCTCCTTTTTATCATCTTATCTTCCAAGGGATTTTCTTTTTCAACAGAATATTTATCATCATGATGATGGTGATGATGAAGCATAAGAAAGGAAGGAGAAAAAAGTTCTAATTCTTTCGTTGGAGCAACAGAATTAATGGAATCGAAGGGAAGAAAAATTCTAAGCAATAAACTGTTACTATTTTTACGCCTTTTTGGGTGAGAAAACGGAAATGGTAATGATGAAAATGAAGAACGAGGCAAAGAAGAGATTAAGTTAATGATGAGTTTAAGGGTGAGGTGGATGTTGAGAGAGAGAGAGAGAGAGGAAAAAAATGAAACATTGAAACAATTTAACAGTTACTTTTGCTTTAATCAACAGTAATTCACTTTCAGCTGAATCAAGATGAAATCAGGAAGTGAATTGAATCAGGAAGAGGATGTTAGACTCAGACGAGTAAATAATTATGATAACAAAATGGAAAATTAAATCTACTCTGTTTTATAAAAGTTAATATGATTGTTGAGTTAATCACTTTGAGTTTAAATTGTTAACCATCAAACAATTTAGACCGCAAATTTCAAATTGCAGCAAATTGATTGAATATTAAATTCAATTTCTTGATACATGAATACACCCTGACAGTGAATTCATTGAATAGATTGATGAAATTATGCAAATTGTTAATTGTTATCTCATTAGTGATATTATATTATATTTTTTTCCTCATCTTTATTGAAGTATCATGATAATTATCATCATCATGATAATAACGATATGATTATGATGCAATTGAATTTCGTTTAGGAATTGTGATTATATTTATGTTTGTTTCTTGAAAGATTCTTGGGATTTAAATTAATTGTTATTTGCAAAAGAAATTAGTTGATAATGAATTTACCTTGATGATAGAGGAAAACGAGGACTGATGATATTGATATCAAATCCACACCCAATTTACATAAATCTAAGGAGGAAAAATTATTCCAAATCATATTCTATTCATGGTAATATTATATAACCACCACCCACTTCCTTATTATATATCTACACACCTTGATTATGATTCAGAAATTATTTAATAACAGGTAAGGATGTTGATTGTTAATCTCTTGTGTTGAAA